TTTTAAAGCTCCGCTGTACCTACGTGTACTTGTATGTACATATTGATTTCTTTAAAAGCAATCCATATAAATCTCAACCTTACCTCAACTTAGTTAGCGATTAAAATTAATTTTAATACACGACCTGTCATGTAGGTAGATAAAAAGGCAATAACTTACGACCACGTAACGTCGAGATCAAGAAGTCAATAAAGCAAATTGGCATCTCGTTTCGGGTCAACCAGCTTAGCAGGGAAGGGCAAATCCTTAGTGGGCACAAATAAATACGGTACGAACCTATCATATTTCCCTGATCCCTTCTCGAAGGGTCAGCAATATACCCAGCCGGACCTCATAATACTACGTTTTTGATCCCCAATTGATATGAATGATGTTTTATTGTTTTTCTGTTGTGTTTCTATTTTTATATTTTAAGTTTTTATGTTACAGTGTGGTGTCTTGATTATCTTGGTTTTGAATGATGTGGTGATTTTAGTGTTATACACTGATTTAATTACATGCTCTATTACAAGTAGCGAGATCGCTCTGCCAATAAATTACCATCACTATTTTGTTTTTCGATACACGAATATTAATATGTTATCATTACCAAACCTACAATCATCGTAAATTTAAATTGCTTTTAAAATTAAGTGTGCGATAGCCATGCTCCGGCAAGAATAGGTCGCCTCGACCAGAGTGATACCACGGCGTCACAACCACAGCGTTGTTTTGACCTTGTGAGGTTACTGAATGCCCAATCCTCCCTCACCACCAGCCCCACCCCAATCCCTAAATCACCAAAAGGTCGGCAACGCACTCGTAACTTCCACGTTGCTGCGGGTGTTAATTAGTTACACTGATTGCTTATTATTACGTAATCCGTCAGCTGATGTGCCATTCTTTAACGTAAAAATATCTGAAGTTAAGAGTACCAAAGTTTTCCGGGTCTTTAAATCCGGTGGTGGGTAAAATTGCGTCGGTTAGTTGTAGCGAAATATATCTCAAAATGGACGAAGCTACCAAATCTTTAACAAAATAGCTCCCCGGAACACTTTAAGTCTAAGTAAGTGGCGTTCGGCGGTCGAAGATTTGCTGGACCGGCTCTAATGGGCTTTATCCTTATTTATTGAACTTGCTGCCGAAACGGCAACGCCACGAAATATCTCTTTAAAGTTTTCATCATGGTCACATTATCGTCAGACTAGAAGATAGTTATTTGGGATAATTCAAATACCAAATTGTCAAATCATTTACTTTAGTATATACCACTATATTATTAAGCGCCTATCTTAGTAAATAAGACGTCGATCTAACAAAATAAAATTACCTAAACAAAAAATAAATAAAGTTAAAAAATAAAATAAAGTTGTAAAAAATATCAAAATGTTATAGTGTAATATTTTTCTATAATAACTTTATTACCGATAAATTTTTAACATTACGTATTTCATTAAAGAGGTTTTATTTATATAAATGGTGATTTCATGAATAAGAGTCCCATTACGACCTGAACCTAGTAGAGCTATTCGAATTTAATTCACATGTGTATGTCCTTTTTTTTAATTAATTTTGTGTCTCACGATAATTACTGTTAAACAAAAGATAGAGATTTGTCAACTCATATTTCCGTGGTTACATGTTTATCTTAACAGCCTAATATAGACTACAACAACTGAAAAACTTTGGAGGAGATTAGTATTATAACGATAATTGAACATATCCGTTAATCAACTTTTGAACGAAAAATTCTTGTAGCTAGCTACACTACAGAAGAAAAATAATATAATGTGTTACAAAAAAATGCCACTTCACTCAAGATTTGAACAAGTTCAGTTGAAGTTGCAAGACTCGAACATTCATTCTAATCGATGGGGCTTATCAGCGAACATCTCCTCCCCATTGAGAGCTAACTTAAGGGTGGGGGAGGTAAACAGGTCAGGACAAGCGCAAACGAGCTCAGACAGGCGTGACGAGTCGAACGTGTCGCGTTTTTCGAAACCACGACACCTGTTCTCATTAATCCTGAGGCACTTAGGATTTATGAAAACAGGTGAAGGTATTGGCTCGATTTTGTTTACTAAGGTACGATGATTAGGTTTGTTTTTGATTACATTTTGAAAGGAATTGTTTTGGAATTATATATTGGCTGTTCTTCTAAAGGATTCGGCGATAAATATAAATTTGTTTAATATTCTAAGTCTATGGTTAACCATAGCGGCTGTCCCGGCCACCTCATTCATCTATACTAATATTATAAAGAGGTAAAATTTGTTAGTTGGTAAGTTTGTATGTAGGGGGTAATCTTTGGAACCGCTGATCGGATTACCAAAATTCCTTCACTTATAGATAGCTACAATTTTCCTGGGTGCTATAGGCTATAAAATATCACGCTACGATGCAGCGGGTGAAACCGCGCTAGAGTAGCTATACGACAAAAATCAAAGCATCGTTGTTCTATGAGGCCGTGATGTTACAGCATGGTTCTGTTACAAATAAATTAGTAGGTGTTTTGAGAACCATAAGAAAGAAATTATACAGACACTTACCTACGTACGAAGATCAATCGTAGAGTATTCTTTCTATAAAGAAATGTAGGCCAATATAATTTGCACGCGTACAATCTGTGAGTATTTACGGTTTTCATTCATAAATCCTTGTAGTACACCTATTCATAGTTATATGAATAGGTAGATGTCTTATTATTAGTCTAAATATAGCTTGAAATTAGTTTCGTAGGTTGAAATCAGGGATAAGTGGGTTGAAAAAAGGTAAGGTTAGGAATTTTGTAATTGTAGGCCAACCAAGATGGATTTTACATTTACTTCTAAAGGACATTGTTTAAAAAAATATTAAATTCTACTCACTTTTGTAGGATTGATAGAATTACCTATATGCGCATTGTCTTACAACTTGTAGTCAATTATATCATATCAACTTCAGTGTAGTTTCGTCAACTGTTGTATTCTCCCCTCAGCTCTTCTTTCTAATAAAGCCTTTGGTTGTCACAATAGAGATCTAAGCGAGACACAATGTATTTTTTTTTTGTGTCTCATATACCGGCAGACGATGTGTGGGAGAGCCATGCTTCGGCACGAATGGGTCGACACGACTGACGATGTGGATGATCTCTTAATGCAATATAGATAGTCATTTTTAGTCTTATTTTAATGTGTAATAAATGTAATAACTATTTTAAATGCCTTTAAAAGCTTTTGAGATGTGAATACTAAGACTAATCGCAAAAATTATGGGAAAGCCATGCATTGGTATGAATGGGCCAACTCAACCAGTGCGATAACACAGCCTCACAGAAAACCAAAATGATCACCGTTTGCGTTGTGTTTTGTCGTTTCGAGTGAGGTTATCGAAGGTAAAATTCTCCCTATATCTACCTTAAGCTGAAACCCGAATCGCCGGCAACCTTCTTGCAATTGAAACTCCCCTTGGTGTTTCGGATGTCTAACCATGGGCGGCGCGGATTGCTTACCTTCAGGTGATCCGTCTGGCAGTTAACGCCATATGACACAAAACAAAATTACATTTACCTTTGTGCACAATCAAATGTGAATTCAATCTCTATGATAAGTAATTGTAAAAAATCAACTGTCCTCAACCGTGCCAGTGGGTGCAAATACCACATCTGACTTACTTTTAACTTTATCTTATCTGTAATTACCAACAAGGGGCCTACATTGTAATGTGCAGATTATCTAAAAAAAATATCATTGCCAACAGGCAACGTTCAAACTTACTGATTTTTATTTTTATTGTTATATTCTAGATTTAATTTTTTTTATTTATTTTTGATTTTAGAATATAAATTCTATAAATAAACTCTGTTAAAATAATTTAACAGAGTTTTATTTTTATTAATTGTCCATTTTTACTAGTATAATTTTATAAATACAGGTTGTTCTTTTTGTTACAATTCAAGAGTTATTTTTAATATTTATCAAATTCGTTTTATTCATTACATATTTTGCACTCATAAATAATATTGTGAATGTTATTATTATATATATTATGTACGCTAAATGATTCACGTATATTTCGAGGTGAATATTTCTTTGCATCCACGATAAGTCGATAACTAATCAGTGATAAGACAACGTCGATAACGGTAAACACATACATGCTGTTCACTATTTTGGTTCAAGGAAAACACCAGTGCAAATACGTATAAGTTTTTTTGAATTTTACTATAAAGTTTATGCACACACATACTTAATGAAAAAATTGAGTTAGGATTCCCATTAGTGTTCATAACCCGAAATATTCTTTAAAAATATTAACCAAATATACAAGTTAACCAACTTGCTTCATTCCCTTTTTTATTTAATTTGATATTTAATGTTCAATGCAATATTGATGATAAACTGTGAAAATTAAAGCATAGAGGATACCTATAGGATTGCGATTTTCTTCAACACAAAAATTCAACAGTTCTAACATCTTACACAACGAAGTTGAAGTTATGAATTGAAATTATGAATTAATGACAGGCATAGTTGTAAACTAACGCGAAAATCAGTGCAGTGAACCTTGTTTACTAATTCACTACTTACGTACTTATATTGTATTTACTACTAACAGTAGAAACCATTGAGTTATTTCTGTTATTTTATAGGTATTTATAAATATCTGTAAAAAGCGTAAATAAAAAAACTGCATATATCCTACATATTTGCGTGACCCACTAATGAAACAATAGCTGGGGTTGCGGGGTAAACGCAATAAGGTACGGCGGCCTCGGCCTAGAGCAGGAGAAGGAATTTAAATTAAGATATTTAAGGTTTTTAGTTAGTAAGTATGAGTCTGACATTCCCGCTCACCTCTCCTTAGGCGAGAGAAGATAATATATGAGTTTCCCTTCAAAAAAATACACTACACTAACAGTAGACAGATACAAAAAAAGAACAAAAAACAATCAACCTGTACATAGTGGCCATTCCTACGAATTCAGAAACCCGCCTAGTATCGCTAACTATACTATCTTTAACATTACAAAGGCAATACTCGACGACGTCAGTGACGTTATATTTTCGTTCACCTTACCGTATCTGTATTAAAATTCAGTATTTTCACCACAGTGCTACGTTGTGAATGATACACGGACATATCCAAATGTTTAAATATGTGAAAATGTGCATAAACAGTGTATAAGTTCGCGTATTCAATGGCATCCGGTAAGCATAGTGACAATAGCCCGCTTTCGCATAATACTATTGATTTCATTTTCGCTGTTAAATCATTTTCGATTCTATTACTTGGTGAAATAAGGTTATTTTCAGTCTCTCTCGTTTGTTGTTTAAATATTAATCTTGTATTATGGACGTATGAATTCGTGCTATAAGATAATATTTGGTTAAACACTGAGTGCGACCTTTGAGTACATATTTTTATCCACATACGTAGGTTATATTCTGTTATCAACATGTGAAACACTGTTATTATACTTAGGTATTCAATTTATTTTCGGTGTTTGGCGCCATTTTTTGTGTTCCGAGCTGTCAATCTGACAAGTTAGGTTAGGTTAGGTTATGAAACTAAAACAATATGCAAAACAAATTATCGTTTAAAGTTTCACCTAAAAGGTGTTTTAGGTTAAAATAACAAAAGAGAATTAAGTAGATTTGAGCAAATATTCATAAATCATCTAAGTTAACTCAACTTTAAAGATACTATAGGTAGGTACCTAATATCTAACTTCGAGCTAAACGTCAATTCTTTTTAGATAAAACATTTCGAAAGTCAAATAGCATTATCACTAAAGGCTTATCAATTTCAAAACTATCGTGCTACACCTAATTTATTTTTGTTTAAAATTCGGTCAAGAACAGCTAAGGAATTTTTATATTTGTGTTACTAAGCCAGAATAATTGTTTATACCTGCATATTCCTCGAAGTTTATATCTGTTGTCTTTATCGTACAAATGTATTCTAGATATGTTAGACAGTGATGGATGTATAGATTAATTAGGGCATGCTAAATAACATATTCGATCTATATTTTTTTATTGAACTCCGTATATAGCTTCTGTTGAACTCGCTCCATACTGACATTTTTCAACCCAACCTAGTTCAAACTCAATATGGTTGTCATTGGTTGAGACTTAAGAAGTTAAGTCCCAGGGTTGCTGGTCAGGCGCTATAATGTACCGCGGCTCCAGCATGAAGCAGGAGAAGGAACAGGGTGGTTTTCAGTCAGAGTCTGACACTCCCTTTTGCCTTGCCTGGGCGATAGAAGGCATTTGGCGATTATCCATCCTCAAAGAAAATTACATGATGTATGATTCTTTGTAGTTAGAATTTTGTTTTAAATACGTCGTTCTGGTCCGGAGATTAAGGTTCCCGCCTCTCACGCTAGAGGGCGCAGATTCGAAACCTGGCAAGTACCAATGACACTATTTTAGTTGTACGAACTTTCAAAGCGTGTTAAGACTCTTCAACAAAAAATGTCGTGAGAAAACATGAAATTATATTTTCTAATATAATTTTAATTGACTAATCCCAAGCAAACGCAGGCGTCCGTGCTGCTTTTGTGGCTCTAATTCATCATCATCATCAGTCTATGAGTGCCCACTGCTGAGCAATGACCTCTTCTCATACGGAGAAGGTTAGAGCATTAATCACCACGCTTGCTCAATGCGGGTTGGCGATTTCAAACTTATAATTAGAAATTATAAGTCCAGGTTTCCTCACGATGTTTACCTTCACCGTATGTCAGTGGTGCCTAAATAATCATAGAAAGTACATATAACTCGGAAAAAGTCACATTGGTACTTGCCTAATTACTACGATTGAAAGTTTAAAATCCCTAACCCACATTGAGGAAGTATGGTGATTAATTATCAAACCTTCTCCGTGTATATTTATTCGTCGATTAATAACTTCACTATTTTTACTCTTCACTTCACATATACAGGTCAGGTAGGTTTATGTGAAGTGTTGAAAATCTTAATTTAGGCTTCATTTTTTCCTTGTTCAATTTCACAAATGTCTATTCTAAGAATTAGAGATAAATGTAGGTAAGCAAATAAACAAAACTCTTAAAATTTAAATTGATAAACATATCCAGATGTAGGTAGGGGTATACTGAACAGTTTTTGTACAATTATTTCAGGTATTTGGTGTTAAGGGGTAATTAAATAAAGATTGTCTTAATACAGACAAAGTACCTAGCTATTATTAGGTACATTAAATTGTATTGAAGTAAGTTATTACAGCTTTTTTTGTCAAGGGAAAAATCGTTTTTATAATAACTATCGTGAGACATACTAAATTAACTAAAATTCGCGGGTTACTCACGTGTAAATGTTGAGAAAAGCTCTACTAGTTTCGAACCACAGAGGGGTTCTTCCTCATGAGCAGCGTGCGCGGACGCGGCGACGTCGCGCAGCCTACTGTTAATTAAGGGAAAAATCATCAAATGACTTCTCCCGTGTCAGACTCTTACTGACTAAAAACCCCCGTTCCTTCTGCTCTGGGCCAAACCCGCGGTGACTCATTGCGCTTAACCCACAACCCTGGAAAATAATCCAAGTTTTTACGGCTTTATGACCAAAAACTGTTTAATAATGTATCTGTACTGAATCTATCTTTATAATCGTTAATACACATGTACCTACCTAATGTTTTTGGGAGGGGGAAATCATCAAATGACTTCTTTCGCCCAGGGTGCGGCGAGACAGCATGTTAGATTCTTACTGACTAAAAACCCCCGTTCCTTCTCCTGCTTTGGGGCGAGGCCGCGGTGACTCATTGCGCTTAACTAGTAATCCCAGAAAATATTTTTTACGGCTAAGTGACCAAAAACTGTTTAATAATGCATGTGTACTGAATCTAGCTTTATTTTCGTTAATACACACGTACCTACCTACTGTTTTTGGGAGGAAAACATCATCAAACATGTAAATTTTCTTCCCAGGGTGAAGCGAGAGGGCATGTCAGACTCTTACTGGCTAAAAACCCCCATTCCTTCTTCTGCTCTAGGCCGAGGTCGACGCATGTACCTAACTTAGATCTAGTCTGACACAATGTAGGTACTTATAGGTTAACATTATCAAGATTGTTAGTGACACGATAAGCAATCTTCGACTATCTACCCCTTCAACTGAAAAGTACATACACACCTATACTTACTACCAATTTGGGGACCGTTTGGTTTATCTAAGATATTTGTTTAAGAATGTTTTGAAAAAAATGTACTTTAATATTACATTACAAGGTCTCCTGGGCCTTAGCTTAGAGGACACCGTAGGGATTAGTCCGTTTAAGTTGTAAATAACCGTAGCGCGTTGAAATACACACCAAAAAATACCGAATTTGATTAGAAAACTTTTAATATAAAAGTATCCTACTAATCATCGAAGATGTTCAAACCGATTTAGGTATTTCCTATTGGTTTAGACCATAGAGTCATACAGAGAGTAGAGTAGATCCAGTAATTATCCCAGATAATTTCTCTATGGTACAAAAATTTCTGACCCTCACTTTACCCTTCACTTTATCCTTTGCTAAAGGTTAGACACACCTTTAGCAAAGGATAAGGTTATGTGATAGTTACGCAACGGAGGAGAGAGAGAGGCGGAAAGGATTGACACACATCGAAACACAACGCTATGGTAATTTAGTTTTCTGTGAGGCCGTCGTGGTATCATCACTTCAGTCTAAGCGACCAATTCGTGCCGAAGCTTGGCTCTCTCACACTCATTTGTTTTGATTATTATTTATTTAATTATCTACTTACCCAAAGAGTTGACTGTGTCTATTGAACGAAAAGTCATAGTAACTGCCAAATCTTGTGCAGTCCTCGGATAAAGCAACGTATTATTGGAATTTTTCGTTGATACATGTTTAATATACTTTAAAACATCTTGAATAATATGGCAGTATCAATATAATTTTGGGGCAAGGCTGTTACTACTACGGGACACCCAGTTTGGTAACTAGTCATTAAAAGTCTGTCAGTCCCCTTCCGAAGGCGAAGGGGCTCTATGTGGATTTTCCACATTGGTGCAAAAAAGAGTTGTTACTACTTTTTCCATTATTCTGATTTAGTTTAAAAGAATAACATAATCACGTGACTAATCGTATTATAGTAATTATTTTTCCATTCTTTCTCAATTTTGTCAATCAACTACCTGGACTCTGCGCAAACAAGTGCAGTCTATAATAATTATGTATTTTTTCTTTTTTAAAAATCAGCTACTTTCATTTCTATATTAGTACCTACATTTAGTTGACTCGAAGTCAATGCCTAGGAAATAAGGTCCGCTTTTACAGATTTTTTGTATTAAGTTTAAAAAATAAAAATGAAACAACAAAATTAAATACGCTACTTATCCCTAGTTCCTTTTGAGATTATGTAGCAACAAATATTTTGTTAACGTTATTATATGGGTGTTATATTTTTTATTTTATTTCAATGAGTGCATCGAAAGACTACATACTAGTTAATAACATATGAATTATAATACACAACATTTATCATTTAATTCTAAATATAATTACAATTATACATACATATATATAAATGCCACCTATAGTCGTCACTTAGATAAATCGATATTAATTTCAGTGCCGCAGTTGGCGTCATAGATAATTTACAATCTTTTATCTAATTGAGATACGAATCAAATCGGAAAAGTTCTAGGTAATCAAAGGTGCTTATTAAATAATAAGCCGTGACTGGCTACCTATAAAATTGCCGGTTTGCATGAAAAAAAAAACGATTTTTTTTATTTGAAATGCGATGAAAATGTAACACTAATCAATAAACAAATTACTACTTTTGGAAAAATAATCCCATGTTTTTAAAACAAAATTAATTAGCCTTAGCCTAACAAAAACTATTTTGATTTGAAATGGCCAGTACTGCAGAACGGCAATTTCATATGTAAAGACCTATTATTAATATATTATTTATTATTGGTAAATTGCATCTAAATCTATTTTATTTGGCGGAGACTATGTTTTCCGAAGAGTGTTTTCAATTGTTGCTTATGGGTAGGCGTGCTCCATCTTATAATACATCGTCCCTTACAATTAGGTGAAATGTTTAGTGATTAAACGTGGACCAATTGCAAACAAAAAAAAATTTTAATATTCTCTAGAAATAGTAATCAGAATCGTTTCGCAATTTAACAGGAATGTAAAACACCTTGTTTAGAATGTTTTTAGATATTAGAGGGATGTATTCTATCTCTTAGTTTAGAGTAGATATTGATTTTAAACTAGGTTCAGATGAATTTTAGTACTTTTAACAAGAAGTGACATTTACCCTCTATAATCCGCGAACCGCCAAAGGCTATGTAGTAACCTCATATAATTAAAAATATAATTTCGAACTTTTATATATCCGGACGAACACATCTACACTTCCATCCATTACAAGTAGATATACTTATGCATTTCAGTCGAATATACATAAAGGTACCATGAAAAATGTATAGGTTCGATTTAAATTTCTTTAATCTGATCAAAAAAATAAGTAAAATTTTTGTATTGTAGTATGAAATTATAAATACACATCCAAATACAAATTATAAAAGAAACATAATTTCTTCTTAGTTTCGGCAAATATCCAGATTCTATTAATTCCTTACCTCAACCGTTAAGTTTATTCGCAATAGTTATTTTATATGAAAATATTATTAATTTCAGATGTGATACTACCAGCGCTATTATTATGGCTGATGCCGACCCTAATGGCGGCAGGTGTAATGAAGAGGCAGGCTGATGACTTGGAAGACCAGATACCACCGTGCCGGACCTACATGATGGATGGCCTCCTTCACTTAGACTGCTCCAATAGAGAGCTAAAAGAATTACCTGAAGAATTAGATTATAGTGTAAGGATTATAGTTTTAAAACCAAAGTAAAAACCGAATAATCTGAAGTTAAGCTAGGTATAAATTAAATAATGAATGGGATATTATGGCCTAGAGCAGATCTCAGAGAATCAAAAATACCTATCTGCCATCTTCAGAGAACTTCTAAAAATCTCTGTTCAGCTGAAGACGTCTCGTAGCTGGTGATTATTATGATAGTCTAGTTATTAACACATAAATCAGATATTTTATAAGTAGTTTTAAATGCCGTATTTTTTGAGACCATTGTCAGCAAAACTTTATAGTTTTCCAAAAAATTGCTGATAATTATTTAAGGATACAAAAGGTTCTTGAGGTCTTTTAACCTTTACTACAATGATAAAACAATACTTATTCGTTAAATAACACAATATTGCCATGATATCTATTATAAAGATGATTAGATACTTACTAATCAAAACTAGGTGATTTGATGCTAAACATTATTAGATAAAAAATACTAATTTAATCAGTTGATTAAAATCAGTCATTGTCGATTTCTAAATTATTTACATTTTTATATTGTTACTAGCCCCTCTATAAAATATTGCCAGTCACTTAAGATCGGTCCAGCCGTTTCTTTTTAGTTTTAGTGAGACTAACCACGATTCATTTTCATATATGTAAATATAGGGTTAAGAGTCAAATACGAATTCGTATGAAGCACGCCAAATTCGTTTTCATTCAAATACGAGCTTTAAAAAATATTTTTATTCATTTCAGGCACAAGTATTGCTGCTATCGAATAACAACTTCAGAACGTTTCCGTCACAACTGGAGAATTTTTCCCGAGTGGAGACGCTCGACCTGTCACGGAACTACCTGAGTCATACCATTCCCAGCTATTTACAAAACTGGGTCAATTTACAAACTCTCAATCTATCAAACAACCTCTACGACACGTGGAACACTACTGGACAAAAGTATTACCTAAAAAATTTAGATTTATCAAAAAATAAAATTAATGTTGTAGACGAAAAAGCGTTCACAACAATGCCCTACTTATATTTCCTCGACTTATCGGAGAACAGAATTAACGATTTGCCCGCCGGCGTATTTTCCGAAGCGCACTACTTGGACAGTCTCATTTTATCCAGAAATTACTTTTCCGACGTGCCCAGCTTCCATTCTCCTTCCTTGAGAAGTTTACACATGAGCAGCTGTCAAATCGCAACAATGAATGTCGACTCTCTAGTCGGAATGGACTCGCTCTTGGCAATCGACTTGTCCATGAACCAGCTTGAAGCGATCCCGGACAATCTCGCTTCGGACACGCTGCAGGAGCTAAATTTAAGTTACAATTCAATAAATATGTTGACAGACAACAGCTTCTCGTCGTTACCGCACCTGGCGGTACTGGACCTGAGAGGAAATGAGTTCAGAGATGTATGGGCGACTTCACACTTCTCTTCAAACCCGTTTTTGAGGGAAGTCTACGTGAAGGGGAATCGATGGAGCTGTGAAGGTTTCAGTGTGAACCTCCTGTTGACTTATGAGTTTCTGACAAAGGAACCGTCTAAGATAGTGGACAGAGAGTCCTTGATTTGTTACTCGCCGTCAAATGTTACACAGTTGAGCTGGCAACAGGCTTATATTCGGACGTGGCATCCAGTGGAGTCAAGCACTCCTCCGTTCACAACTATAGCATTGATGGTGGGAGTGATCATCGGGATTGTGGTGACGTCGTGTGTATGTCGAGGTCTAGTGACCATCACGAGATCATCAGAGCCTGCAAGGCCACCGCCCGAGACTACAGTTCTGAATCTCAACGGTACAGCTGCCCAGCCTCGGGCAGAATCAGTAATATTACGAGTACCCTTGCGTGAGGATCTCCCACCGAGCTACGACGAAGCGCTACTAATGCCACGGTTGAACTCTTCCTTTCATTCTTTGCCAGATTTTGTTGACGAAGAAGAACCAAGAAACTATCGCAGATCGAGATCTATTGGGGATCTGACAGAAACTAGGCCGAGAATGGCAGATAGACGATCTTTACGGCGCCCTGTCGATATACGTATCACAATTGATGAGTAGGCAATACTTTATTCAGTGATTCTATTTTAGAATCTTGTTTTTAGGTTCTAAAGTATATAAAAAGGCAATAAGTGAAAAAGTATGGCACACACAGATAATCAAGCACTATGAATATCTGTGTTTTAGCATTAACCGAATTGCGTTTTGTTGACGGCAACCGCAACTCGCCGTCGGTCACGACAAAAATAATAATTAGGTAGTTATTTATTTAGAAATATAAACTAACTCTACAAATATAAGACTTGCCATTAGTTTTAAGGAATTAAATAAATGAAATGTATTTAAGATATTTGTACATATATAATATTAAAAATACTAGGTTATTATCATTATTGTTTTACTAAACTGTCCTTAAAAGATGAATATTACTAATATACTAATAGGTACTCTATTCATGTTACGAAAATGCAATTGAAACCTATAACGCCATCTACCTTTATATAAATACACTAAAAGTTGACACAGCTCTTTGGTTTTTCATAGAGACACCTGTACCTCCAAGGTTCCAAGCTTGGATAACAGATGGCGCTGTATACAGAATAGTAAAGGCGGTAAAATATTTTGTGCGAGACATTATTTTAATAATACAGCACACACTCAAACATCATTATTTACATTTAGTTAATTAAATAGCTTGGAAAAATAATTCCGTACATTTTGCATTGACCTGCATTTATTAGGAACCCAGTACACCCATTTATTTGTGAAAAGACCATTCTACCAGTATAAGTACTTACCTATTTTCTTAGGAAAAATATACATATTTAGTATGATTACATAATATTCACAGATATCCCTAGGAGTCGGCTAAGTAGAGATTACCGCGCCCCTAAGCACATACGCTTTCGCCATTCTTATCACCAATGATAACGTCACGAATTTGAGTCACACAATGTAATCGTACCGTAGGGACAACACGTCTTAAATAAAAATAATTGTTCCAAAAACCATAGATTAAGGTGTTTACATTTAAACGAAAGGCAGAGATAAGTGAAATATACAGATAATGTGAGTTACATAAATGTGCGTTCAATTAAACTAAAGAAAAGGTAAGTACTGTTTACATTTTTTATGCTTTACACCCATTTCTTACTATGGATCAATTATCTCAAATAAGTTTATAAGGTACCTTGAATAAAAACAATAAGCATAGATTATATTGCTTACATCTTATATTATGTCTATATAATTTCTGTCTACCTATGTTCGTACACAATTAGCATACCCTAAAGGTACCTCTGTAAAGATAAACATCTCAATAATGAGGTCAAATACCACTTGAAACTAGACCTACATCTGATTAAAAACCTTATCTTCATCCGCAACTAGAAATCAGCACCATTCATTGAAAAGTACTTACAAAATTTCTAAACATCTATATCTGGCCCTTCTTCTCTGTGTCCAAATATCTTTACCCGTATCATTTACTTCAAGTCTTTGGATCTTTATTTATTATTAACCACCTGTCTTATTCGAATTATTATCATTTATTGATACCACCTCAATAATCCCATAAAACTCCATAGGTACAATCGTTTGTCCTGAATTCGCTTCACGTTTTCGATACAGATACGCAAAGTCGACCCAAATTTAAGTATCCTACTGTTTTATCAATAGCTGATAACAAAGATAAAATTGTTGTATGTACTAATGCAGTGGTTATTCATGGTTAAAACAGCGTTATGAGTCTGCTATTTAGTTCTTAACCTGAACTATTTCGGAAATCCGTACGTGACAAGGGTGTTGAGTAGACGTAGGCAGGTGTGCAACCTTATTCTGTCTTCCTTCCTCGTCGTATAAAGGACGATTGTTATATTTTCTTTTGATAGTTCATTTTCATTAACTCACACGTCGGCCATAAGTGTAACTACAAACACACTTGGAACCGGTATTCATTGAAAATGTTTTAGTGTTTTGTGTCTCGTATTTTCAACATTCTCATTACCATAGTTTACCATAGCCATCGCGAATTCTATTTCAAGTTCCATTGTAATCTTCAGTTTGATTTTTGTAACTTTATTGGTGTTTGTGTCCAGTCTTTCAGTGTAATTACATTTAGGTATTTTATATTTGGCTTTGAATTTGTACTGATTATCATTACGACTAGTTTTCTTGGAAGCAATTGATAGCAGCGATTATTTCTTAGATGTTGGCCATTTTTGTAATTTATTTGATTCCTGTCGTCTTACACTCAATTAAATTGCAATTAATTTCTCTTGCCATAAAATTTATGTAACGATGACTCAATTCACAAAAACATTTGTCACTGATTAATGTTTGAAATGTGATAGTAACTGTATCTGATTCATTGCTTTTATATCATAAAATAACAGATGATATGGATGGAATGAGCGAAACGGGATGTCCAGTCATGTAATTCCAAATTCCAAACTGTTTATTGATTAACTGTTTAAATGACAAATTTACTACGTGGTGTTTTTTTATCGACAAAATACCAACTTTTATAGAAGTTTTCAATAATATTTATAAATTATTTAACCAGTTGTCAAGTTAAAACATTACCTACAAACAGGGATACATTTTTGTAGTGTTTTTTATATAAGTATTTTTATTTTGTTGATTTCAGGCAGTAATGATATCGAGACGTGATGGTTCGATTACCCAAAACACTATGTGTTCTCTTGCTGATCGGTATAGCAAAGGGAAGAGCAAGTTCTGACACAGACCTTGGTGATCTGTGCTACTCCTGCACATGTAGCGCAGACAAGACCATCATCGATTGTTCCCGCAGAGGATTGACTGAGATACCTAATGGCTTCGGTACACAGGTATTCTATTTATTTGTTTATTTAACTGTATGTACAAATTACGTAGGAAGGCTTAAAATCAACAAATATTCTCGTTAGTTGAACTTTGGGTTATGCAGTGAGAATATAGTCGGTGCGATAAAGTACAAGAAAGAAAAACAGAAATAAAAGTAATTAGTAAAAAGAATTGTCATTTATATTAAGGGTTATGTTTTTAGTTTAAATAGTTTTGAGGCACTTACTTGTATTTATTCTCCGCAGTTTTATTAAGATAATGTAACGCATTCCAAATACAGCTATTGATATCGTTGTCAGACACCTATCAAATCTTTTATTTCCATGGAAAAATACATAAGTACTTACATATTATTATTAAATACCTACCTGGTATATTTTCAATAAATAGTATATCAACATAGGTACTTATACTGTTTTCGATAATTTCCAGGTGACAAAGCTGAACCTTTCACACAACGAAATTTCAACGTTTCCTGAAAGCATAAAAAAATTTAGTAATCTGCTCAGTTTAGATTTAAGTGGTAATCGTCTCAATGAATTACCAAGGGATGCACTGCAAAACTTGACAGTCCTAGAAGAGTTGAATTTATCGAAAAATTTCTTTGAAGCATGGATAAGTTTAAACCCCAACGAGGTGTTCCGTCCAACGACAAATCTAAAGACTTTAGACTTGTCACACAACAAATTCACAACAATGGGAAACTTGGCAAACCAAGAGCTGATCATAAGTTCTTCTTTAGAAACATTAATTTTGGAGAACTGTGAAATTGATTCCATACATGGAAGGTCTCCTTTGAGTGGTCTTATCAACATCAAAGTACTTAGATTGAATTCCAATCCCTTAATGAGAATACAAAGTCTTATATCGTCTACGCTTAAGAGTCTCGACGTCAGCAACTGTGCTCTTAGCACAATAAATCATAACGAATTAATGTATTTACCATCTTTAGTTTACTTAAAAATGTCTCATAACTACCGGTTGGAATTGTCTGCTACTGCATACAATTTGTTCTCAGACTCTTTAAAGTATTTAGACATTTCGTATTGCAATGTACTTCAACCTAATCTACAAGGATTTCCTAATCTAAGAAGAGCAATCCTCAATCACAATATGATCAGATTTCTGAGAAGTAATGAGTTCGTCAATAATACAATGTTGGAATATATAGATTTATCTTATAATAATATCGGATCACTGAAAAGTGACACGTTCCGTGGATTGCGTGTAATAAAATATTTAGATTTGTCGTGGAATGAAATAGCGACCATTCCTGAGGATACTTTACTAGAAATGCCTTCACTAACACAAATAAAATTATCTCGGAATTATCTATCGAGTGTCGGGCATTTAAAATCTAACTCACTGACCGTCTTGGATATGAGTTCGTGTGAAATAAGTAGTATTGGCAAGGATTCATTGGAGGGACTGCAAAGTCTTATAGATTTGGATCTATCAAGAAACCTTTTGACACACATTCCGGATAGTATATCATCGAACACACTGAAGTACTTAAACCTCAACTACAACAGAATAACTTTTATTAACAACTATACATTCTTCATGCTGCCTCGACTCATAGGACTAAGTGTTATTGGCAACAGATTTACCACAATCTGGAGACGATCGTATTTTGAATCGAATCCGTATCTTGAACGACTTGATTTAACTGATAACATGTGGAGATGTGACTGTGCTGATGCAAACATGTACGATTTCTATGAATTTGTTACGTTAGAACCTAGCAAGAAAGAAGAATCCTATAATCTCGTTTGCAACAGCCCGATAGCGTTGATTGGACAAACATGGTTAGAAGCCTGTTATTTTGTTTGGAATCCCACCGAGAAAGTTCCAAATCCAGACGGTATAATTTGGTTTATAACTGTAATGATTATAGGATTGGCTGTTTGCCTTCTTTTAGTGAATTGTATTAAAAGATCAATGCAACGTCGATTGGCACATATTCAGGCTGAGAGGGAAAGGCAAGTAGAAGAGGCAAGAGATAGACTGAGGCAGCTAAGAATGCGTGCAGAACAGGAAGCTCTGTGTAACACGCCAGATCCACGTGATTTGATAGCCCCACCGTCTTACGACGAAGCTCTCTCTATGCCAAAATTGAACACATCATGTCATTCACTGAATGAAACGGGCACAGGTAAGACTAAAAAAAGACGTGGTAGAAGGAAAACTAAATCAAGCGGAGATTTACTTGAGGAAACTGAGAGGAACGGGGACCTTCCAGTTTTGGATGATCTCGAACTATCTGAGAATCCAAATGATCGTAGACGTCATAGACCGAGAAGGGAAATAAGTAGATACGGGAGCCATGAAGTGGCAGAATTAGATCAGTCACCAGGGGCTCGTCGTCGGCGTATGTCTGAGTACAATTCTAAGTATCACGATGCCCAGAATGGTGACGTTATGACTGTTGAAGTGCAAGCAGAATTAGAAAGACCTCTACGTCCTCGACAAAGAAGACATTCAAATGAGGAACTTAGAGAAAGCGACTTATAAAAAGAGATTATCGTTTATTTACAGTAACTAATACATAGGAATAATTGTTGTCGTGTCAATTTCATAGTGTTCATACTATTTAAGTTATTTAAGAGTTTTATTACAAGAAATAAATGTGTTATAAATAATAAATTTTACTTTATTTAAAGTCTTTCGATTCGGTTCGATCCCCTGACCTTGGCAATTGAACTCGAAATCGGTCATAATGCTTCGATAATTAGCTGAATTTATTTTATTTACAATTTAATCTTCTTTTAAATTATCACCACTAAAGAGTGGAATTCAGGCAAAGATAATTCTTTGCTTAACCTGTGTGATTTACAGGCTTGTGTAAATAGGAAACATTGATATTAGTTTATGATTGAATTACATGAATAATTTAACAAAAATGTTTTAACTAAATACGAGATCTGATCCTTAATAATTTCATCCTAGAACAAAGTTTAAGATATATTAAAAATTGATAGACGCGCCATCTACCTTTACCTAACTAAATTGTTAAGGTTCCGTTAAGTTTCTGTTTTCGGTGGTTTACTACAGTTTATGGTAGATGGCAGTACGAAAGACATTCTGATAATATAGTAGCTAAGTCCCAACTAAATAATAATTGTGTAGGTATTTGTTTGATGATTTTACGTGCTTCTAATTTTGGCCTGATGAAGGTGTATTTTAGTTATTCATAATTAGTTTTTTTTATAATTGAACGAACTCAGAAAGTATTGTAAATATCTAATATGATTTGTGCTTTAGTCAACAAATCCTGTGTACTACTTAGGAATTACATATTGTAATTTTACATAATAGCACCATATTTTGAAATAATAAAACCCTTAATAGGGATTAGTATTGATGTCCAGAATAAGAAAATTAAATATTAATGAAGTCCATCAGTAAGATACCTCCTCCCTCATCGGTTATTAAATTATAATAACACCTTGTATTTTTTTTTACTTTTTTAAGATAACAATATAACCTTATTAAAGTTCAGCAGTGTAAGCTTGCTACATAACGTAATATTATAATAATAAATTAACAAGATTCTGCTAGCAACTTCGTCCGAAGCACTAAGCAAAATTTATTCCAGATCTACATGTCTATCTTTATCTATATTCATCTATGTATTTCTATCAGATCACATCGGCTCAGTCGTTTTTTATTTAAAAGAATCCGCCATCTGTCCTTACTTAGCTCCAAACTTTTTCATTGATAATATTATAAAGCAATGTATTGGTATACTTATTATACGTTCTTTAAACTTTGCACCACACTAGAATTGTATCCTATGTTGTTTGTATACAGAATACACACGTCGAAAGATTTCGATTCCATAAGGAAATAGTACCTACTTAGTGGGACCCTTTTTTAAATTATCGATAGAAGAGCCATGCTTCGGCACGATTGGGTAGGCTCGACCGGAGGATACCACGACCTCACAGACTGCCTTGAATTACCACTTACGTCGTCATGTAACGCCGTGTAGGAGAGGTTACCGGGGGAACAATCCTTTAACCCCGTCTTCCTCAAATCCCCTATCCTTAAATCCCTAACCCAGAAGAGGCTGGCAAGATACTCGTAGTAATTCCTTTGGACTGTCTATAGGCGGCGCCGATTGCTTACCATTCGGTAATTCGTTGACGCGTTTGCCGACTCATGCAATAAAAAATCTAGAAGACAGACCGAAAAAAAGTGTCATCTTCCCATATTCTACATAGGTACACTTTATAGTCGCTTTCGAAAGTGTAGCGAGAAGTTAGTTAGCTACTTAGTGCATGATAAGAATATAAAAAAGAATACTTATTGGTGTTTTAGTGAAATATTTTTATAGACTGCACTAAAATCAAAAGTGATTAATTATAATTAGGAGCAGGATTTAAATACATTGAAACAAAGGAAAACTTGATTCAACCATTTATATCGTAAAATAGTTTCGAAATAAAAATACATTAAATTTATATTTGCTTACTGAACTATTTATTGTTCTGTTTTGTTCTATTTTTCTGGAAAACTTCAATGTTTTTTTGTACAAAAAATGTTGATACGTTTAACAGTTAACTATTCATATTAACATAATTTAAATTAGGTCAGTAAAAGCATAAAGATACAAAGTAATTAATTTAAAAGCAGCATGTCTTAGTTACAAAATAAAATATTTCAAATATAAAAGATCTACGAAATATACACTAAACGAATTTGAATTAGTTATATACATACATTGATTGAAAATAGTTCAAATACTTAAAATAAATGGTATCACATTCTTAAAAACTAAAATCAATAAAATTACTAAGGAACTTATGCTTAGCCAGACCATGAAATAATGAATCTCTCGACAGAAAATGAGACAATAACTAAACATAGCCAGTTGGACCTTACGTTGTTATACATAATTGTTTACATATATACTCTCAGGGTAGAAGTAAGTACACAACCATTGAACATGTTACAATTCAAGTATTGTACCCCATCATACTATACACAAGGATATCGCAGGATCAACGTACGGAACAGAAACAGAACACAATGTTTGTACAACAACATCTAGCGGCCGACACTCGCAACATCGTAGAACAGCTACGATATCGTATTCAAGTATTACTAACAAGACTTTTACAACTATCATGAACATGGCAACACTTTTTACACGTATAAAAATATTTTTATTACTTATTGCGCAATATATTTTTATAAATATATTATACCACTAACAAAGTTACGAATAAAGGCACTGTCGACTACAAACACACTTTGGCAGCAAAGGTTCTAAAACTTACACACGATCGAACGAATCGACTTCAATCCTTCACACTCGAGATTGGACCTAACTACACGCACAATAATCACAGAATATCGCCAATAGTTACATGTGTGTGCTGTTTGACACTAATTTACACGGAGTGTTATTGTCCTTTCAACTGAGACCGGATTTCAAGTGGTCGACTTGGGCGAGTCCGCCGGAGTAATGATGATGTCTCCAGCGTTCGACCTACTTCTGGTGACTAGTACTGGCGTTTTGGGTTTAGGTGTTTCCGTCATCTTTATGCGCACTCGACCCATGTCAGGCGAGTACACTGGAACGTATTCACGCGATGGTGACAAGAAGTCTGAATCAGTATTTTGGTCCCCATTTATTAAAGGTTGAGATATATCGGAGTCTCGTGTGCCGTTTAGTTTAAGATTATCATCGTCATTAATTGGCACAAAGATATCTTCGCTTGACAATGAGTTGGTATCTTTCCTCGAATCAGGTGACGCTGGGTCTGAATCAAAAGAAGTTTCGTGTTGCTGGGGAATGTCATCTACAAGATTGTTATCCCTTGAGCTGTTCTTATTTTGATTTGTATCCCTCGGACTATCAGTTCTTGTGCCATTATTGTTACTATGATTCACACCATTACCGAGTTCTCCATTTTCGGTCTTCTTTAAAGGTGTTTCGTGTGTTGGGACTAGTTCGTATTTTCCATTGACTTTTTTGTCGACAGGAGCCTCTATACCACCTGCCGGTTTTCCTAACAATGACTTATTCATGTCCACCATTTCCTTCGATGCCTTTTCTACATCTCTCTTTTGCTGGCGTAAAAGTCTTCTGTCTCTTCGTTTTCTCATTTGACCTTTAATTATTGCAAAACCAATTAATCCTACTAATAAGATCACAATTATTGCTATACAAACATATGTGCCCGTTTTATGAGGGGCTGGATTTTCATTTTCATCACGTATTTGTCCATAAACTTCAGATGCTTGAGTAACTCTGATTTGTTCAGACATTGTAGTGTCACGTGGTGTCGGCGATGTTACTTTTTCTGTTGTAACTTCTGGAGGAGATGCTACGTTCCAATTAACACCACCTTGGTACACTGATGGTGGCTCAGGTATCGGGAACTCAGTACCTGTGTTGTTATCGTTATCGAAATACCTATGTACTGGCTCTGGATTTAGGTCTACATAGGGTTCTGTTGTTGTTTCCTCATATCCATGACTTTCATCAACGCCGATGAGAATGTCACCAGACCCCTCTCCTGATCCTTCAATGGGGTCTTCAGTAGTAGGTTCGGTTTCAGCAGCTATAACTTCATCAGCTGCTAATAGATCTTTTTCAAGCTTTCGATTCATTTTAGGTTCCATAAATATAATCATAGTCGTATGTTCGTCGTTTCCATCGCCAGAACCCTCGATAGTGTTAAAAGGTGATGGTGACGTATGACCTACTTTCAAGAATTGTAATTGATCATCATCTTCTACAACATCATTGCCTTGAATAACAGTGCCATCTTCTAGATCGCTCTTTGCTACAAGTGGCATTGATTTTAGAGCAGTAGTTTCTTCTCCGATTTTAACAGCGTCGATAGGTTGGTCACCCATCATCATGTCCAGCAAGTTATTTTCTGTTTTCGGAACTTTGCATATATCTTTCGTTTTCAATTCTAGCCAGGATTTCCCCTCAAATTTCGCAGGTGAAGCACACTTGACATTATCTATGTAAACATTTGCAATAAGCAAACGGTCGCGTGCCAATATGTTTTCACACGAACAATCCAGAGGGTTTCCCTCCATTTCCAAATGCTCCAGACTAGCTAAATGTCCTAAGTCTGAAGGCACATCTTTCAATAGATTGTTAGTTAAATCTAGTGAACTAACGCTTGAAGGTAAATAGACGAAGGAAAGCTTTTGTATTCTGTTATTAGCCAGATTCAGATGCACTAATTTCTTGGCATTGTGGAAGAATTTATTAAGGGTCTGAATACCATTTGTAGACAGATCTAGCGTGACAACTTCTGTAAGCCGGTCCAGCTCGTGATTTAGTTTCGTGATATTGTTATGCGACAGGTCGAGAATATTGATATTGTGATGTTTCTGGCGAAGGGTAAACTTGTATAATTCGGACAGGCTGCTGCAGGTGGCACGGTGGAGGCCATCTCTAGTAGTGTTGCACACACATCCGTCGGGGCACACGGCTGCTAAGGTCGGTGCAATCAGCACAGACAGCGCCAAGAAGCACGCCGATACTCGAAGCCACGTCATCTTGACTTGATCTCGACACCTGGAATGAAGAAAAAGGAACAAATTACATTATATTCCACGTGAGTCACTGATCTCATAATGGGATTATCCAATATGGAGAACCATCGTGCGGTGAATAACGTCCATGTGTTTTATCGTTAAACTGTTCGTTGTCATATGGTTTTGAATTTCAGCCACAAATGCACTACAGCCTACGCGTGTTTCATAAATATTTATTAATACAATGCAAACAGAGCTGTTCGAGCTGATACGTAGAGGTGACGCCGGTAGGTAGGACGAGTGGTCGGTCTTGCTATTATATAAATCACAACATCCCTGCTCGCAAACTGTCATCTAAATATAGGACAGAATAACATACGACGAAACGGTCCCCTGGTCTATTACAGTCTCCACCTCTCCAATTATTGCAACTGCAGTTAGACGGCAATTTGAATCTACGCGTTTCCTTTCATTGATAACGGCATCTGAACTACGTTTCAAACGTCTTTTATGCTTTAACTCGTGTATTTTAGTCGCGATCTGCACCGTCCAGTTGGTTGCACCACCACTGCACATTTACTTCCCACATTCCAGGATTTTATGGGGTTTCGTAGAATGAGTTCGTATTAAAACGTTATGATTTGTTATGATCGACCCTATGATCTTCAATTTAACGTGCACATTGCATCGCTACACATGTCACTAATGCGTTGACTTGTTAGTCTTTGACCTTAACTAACGTAAGTGTGTTGGTACTAAATTGATTCCTGGTGTTTATATTGTCAAGTATATTGTCAAACATAAAAAAATCTTAATCAAAATCATACAACTAGGTATGCCTTTTCTATAAAAAACTAATTTGGGTAAATTGTTAAAATATGTACATAGGTGTGGATATCACCATATATTTTAAATCAATAATATGAAAAAGAAATACTTGCAAGACTTCTAAATTAGGAATTGTTTAAATTTAGAATTTGCATGTTTGAATATTTATGTAAGTAAGTAGGTATGTTATATGTGATATAGGTATTGTGGTTTTAAAATAAAAAATGTTCTATTTACGACCGGGTAATAACATCCTCGGTGCACTTGGCCGAGCTATGAAGTGGTTCAATGTTACCCGGGCAGGAAGCAACCAGTTACCCATTTGTGCGAATGTGATGCCAAACGACGTCGCGGGGGCGTGTTGTTTGGACCCGCGGGCCCACGGGCCCACCGGGGCCAATATTGCGCAATAACCCACGAATATTTTTAGCATTCGTGCGAATTGACTTTGATTATATCTCAAGGTTGAATGCAGATTTGGATAATGCATTAAATTTATTGTTCTGATAAAATAATATTACAGCTCATTCCCACACAGCAACCGGAGATTTTAATATGTATCTATTTTTAAATTATTTACTAATTAACCTTTCATAGTCCGTTCTCGAAAAACTGTACCTATGAGTATAAAAAGAGTAGGTATATCAAAGAAATATAAATTAGCACTAAATTAAATACTGCTTAATACTGAATGCCGCAAAGCCTATTGTCAAAAAAATCTTTAAAATTTTAAAGCCTCGAGTGTGAAGTAGGTAATACCAAAATACATTACAAGATCATTGACCTCCAGGATTGTACCTTGAACACTATGCATTGAGTGAGTAAAATACTCGTACGAATAAATTGTCAAATTTAAATAATAAATTAATCTTGTCCTTTTTTAACGACCAACAGGAAATCATATTTATAGCAAAACAAGGTTTTAAATGCCAGACATAAATAAAAAAAAAAAACAAAAACAGTACATTTCGATTCTATTTTTAAAAATAAATTTTAAATAATCATTAATATACTTTAAAAAGTTTCTAATAAAAATATATTATTTTAAAAAGAGATAGAATAAACATTTTCTAGTAATTTAACACCAGAATTTAATATTGTTTGGCTTGATTTCAATCTTAAATATTAATAGCAATTTTAAAATCACCATCAGAGATAAGATAAAAAATCAGACCAGAAATGATTAAATGGATCAGGTAGTCTATCATCAGCATTACATGCATATGGATGTTTATGTTAATGGTAGTTCTAGGTTCAGCCAACTTAATACCTAATGCTTCAAAATCGATGATCGTTTTTAAATCAAATATTTAGTTAGAGGCCAATCAAATTACCACTAATAAAAAATAATTGCGAACGAGACAAAAATGGAACTTCCAATTCAATAAAAAATAGATATAGAAATACAAAAATCTAAATATGTAGTTTAGTCTGTATTTATTTAGTTGACTTATCCTCATTAATTTACACGTAACTTACTTAAATCCAAAATAAAATATCAGTGGTTACAAGGGCCAGACAATTTACACCTATCAACAACATTGGGCTCGAAAACAAAATTACTCACTCACTGATCAGAACATGTCCGCCGATATATAAAAATTATGGAAATGGCATAAAAGGGTGGAACACAACGATGAAAGATCTGACTCACGCGTTCAAGGTTGTAGATGTCAGACTCACACCGGGCGACCGTGGGTCTATCATGTCACACGCCTATCAATGCAAAGGATACCGGAGAGATTAACAATAATAAAAACCGTTTCAAGTCAGAACAAGATTATGCGCATTTATATCCGGCGTGCAGACATCTATAAGGCTATGGGATAACATTTATGGATAGGATAAAATATGTTACTAGGCATGTTGTTGTGAACTGTCCAGTTTTTTTTTTGAGCGGAAAAATGTCGTCCTGTATCTTTCTGATTAAAAACCACCCTGTTAATTCTTCTGCTTCGTGACGGATGTTGTGTGCCCAATTGTGCCTTTTCTTACATGTAGATGATGTTCATATCTATACTTTGTAGCCGCTAGCACTCAGGAGCATTGTAGTTATCTATCACTGAAAGAATTTTAGAAATCCGACCAGCAGTTCCAAAGATTATCCCCTACATACAAACTTACAAATTTAACCTTTCCAAAATGTAACTTCCACTTTAATATACACATAGTATAGATAGGCCGGAAGGTTTTGAAAATTGAATCTAAATTCAGAGTTGCGGTAAGTAGCCCGACCGTGCATTAATCATAAAATATACTATATTACTCGTTTTTAACTACCCAACGCTCAGTCTCTTCCTTTATTCCATTAAAATGACTTATTAGATCACATGAAGTAGGCGGCCCTTGAAGGCGTTTACCTTCAGAGAAATCCATCGCTTCTCGCGTGACTCAGACATACAGAAATTATGTATACAACTATCTTTAAAGTCGGTCCGGCATTGCTTTAAATGATCATATGACAGTCAGGAACATGTTTAACCTTTAATGTTTTATGCAACAAGTAAGTACACAGCTGGCAGAACCACGCGACGCAAGTGTGTAACGACCTATAAGCTTCCGATGTACCCCGAACGCATCGTGCCAATTTATTCACCGCTTATAAGTAACTTATTTTTATTGTTATCAGAGATTTATCACGACCATTTTACGTAAAGTGAGAAGTGACTGCGTGTTTCAATAAACCTTGGTGGTCATATGCCTATATGGAGTGTAAACACAACACATTTATTCGTGGAAGTTACATTTTTAATGTGGAAAAAATATTTCACATTTATTGTCTGCGAACATTTACATTTTCGCTTAAATATACATATTTTTGGGATGAAATTATTTAAAATAAATAACTCTTAAGCGACCTGCTTTCTTAAAACGCGGAAGACTTCAATTCAGATTGATGTACGAAATCGTTGGAGCGTATGATTGAACATAACGTGGACAAGACATCTGCCTACCAGAAACAGGATCACTAATAAAGCTACCAATGCCAGACGTACACCAAATTCGGTGACGTACAGAAATGTAGTATGGATATACTCTCACTGAGAAACCATCAATCATTCTCTTATAGGACAATGCAACCATTGCCTTTTAAGACAATTGTTTTATCATACGACCCTGTGGATAATGACATATTCAACATTGAAAAATAGTTATTGTTTACTTAAAGGCTTGATTTATGAAATGGCCTCTTCTGTTTACTCGTATAAGAACGGTGAGTGTGATATTGACAGTATTCTTTCTTTCTTTCTTTGATATAAGTAAAAACATAATTTTACACTAGGATTGGCTCCTGTGTCGTGGGTTTACAAACATACAATTCCACATACACATCACACCCAGACCCGAAACAACAATTTGTGGATCACACAAAGGGTTGTTCCGTGCGAAAATCTAACCCACGACACGTTACGTGGCAGTCAGTTGCCCAGCCACCGCGCCAACCGTGCAGTCAAAATTAAAGTATTGTAGTTTTATAGTTCAGTTCTGCCCTACGTGGGGATCTGTTGCGTTATTTCGTGAACTTTTGATCTCGTTACATTCTTAATGGGAGACTGGTTTCATGTCGCAATGTTTAATTTGTTTGTGGGTAAAATGTCTGGCTGTAGACGAGCCAGACATTTTGTTGTGGTTATAAACGCAAAAGTTAATCTTGATGTTCTGCGAGAGTTTCCCTAATTTTGCTAGGAGTAGGATGTTTATGCTCAATATTATTAGTGGGATTTTTTTGGAATTTATATGAGTTTGGAATCGGGTTTTTCACTGCCCAATTTCTTCAATTGATCAGTCGTAAATAAATCAGTTTTTACCTAAGAAAGAACTTATTCTTATTAAGAAATAAAAACGATTACTGTCAAGAATTTGTTCATCAACTTTACTACGCTTGCATTATCGGAACTTTTTCGAAAAACCATTTCAAAACTTTACAAAGAACCTCCTTTTACAAGATGACTGTATAAATTCTATAATCCCAGTTCTAGTACAGCGTCTAACTAGTAAAATAAATTGGAAAACTTTACGGAGCCCATTCTAACTGTTAAATACTAGTGCTAGAGGGAATATACAAAGCCTAGAAGTATTTATTTGACTTGAAGTCGTAGACCAACTGTTAATGTCTTGGAAACTTCATTATTCAGTGTTTATGAAGTCTTTTGTATTGTTATGGAGGTTTTAGTTATGATTTGTTACAAATGATCGAGTCAAAGTCAAAGT